CGCTTCAAGAAAGTTTACTAAAACTTAATCGAATTCTATGAAATTTAATTGAATAATAGATACGTGATTTTATTTGCTCAACATTAACATACGAGAAGATAATCACGTGAATCGTGGTTTGAACTATAGATGTGAAGTTTCTCTCTCTCTCTCTCTCTGAAGTGCATATCAATATCAAAAATTCCTTGAAGTAGAACACCATTTTCATGTATTTTTTCTAAAGTTTTGTGAAAATGATAAGTTTTAATATCATTTTGTCTTATATATAATATCAAGTAAAAAAGGCATTCGGATTTCTTCTCTTTTGATTGCTGAAAACTGCAAATCGCGAACTATTGCAATGTGTCAAGTTATTGAGCTTGCGTTCTACCCTCTTTAATTCTTGCGACGACATTTGTTCGCTACTGTCTCTTCAGATTGAAATTTGTCTCACATAGAAATATTCATATAGAACACAGTTATGTCCTTAATCTGAAATAATTATTCTATAAAGCATCTGAATACCAAGGTTTCATGTATATTTTATAAGAATTTTACTAAAAAAAAGTTTTTTCTTTCATATAACCCAAATGTCTTCTTTTCTTATAGAATATTCTCGGTAATGGAATGGATTGTCATAGTAAGTTTAATTAAAATAAAAAACAAAAAAAAGAAACCTATTTTTCTAAACAATATATGTATATATTTTAGTGCTTGCTCTTAAACAAATAGCACGTGATAATAATCTTCCAATACCAGATTTATTTCTTGATCCAGGTTATGCCTTAAGTAATCATTTTAATTTATCAACAAGTCAAGTAACAACAACTATAAATGATTCATTTATTTGTTATGGTGCAGTTGTACCTGATGGTTATGGCTGTTCATATAATGTTCATTCAGATAGTATTCTTTTTTGTGTATCATCATTTCATAGTTGTTCAAAAACAAATTCACAAGAATTTGCTGAATCATTAACCGATACACTTTATGAAATTCGTGATCTATGTACACTTGTACAACGTCAACAACAAACAATAGCTCTTCGACGCCCATCATATGCGGCAAAATTAGCTGCGCAGAAATTTATTTCATCTACTTCAATTGAATTATGTGAACATAATACAACTTAATATTAATACATAAAAAAATAAATAATTTATCAAAAAATTGTTCGATTTGCTTTTTTTTTTTCTTTTTCTAATAATTAAGATTTTCGAGCAAGAAAAAAGAAATATGGTGTAAATATACCACTTTCACCACCACGTACTAAACCTACAGCAGCTTTTTCGAGTATTTCAAGTGTACCGATACTTCCTTGAGCAGCTATCCAACTTTTTTCCATAAGCCAAACCATATTACGTGTTAACCATCGTCCAATAGATGATGCACGAAGGTTATTTAATGAAAAAAATGAATCACCACCTTTTAATGGTTGATACCATGGAATATCACCTTCGGGTATTATTTGATTTTCTTCGATAGTAAAACCAACTGATTTAAGATCTGATATTAATTGATGAGTTGTTTTTAATTCTGGTAATCCATCACCTTCTTCTATTAAACGTTTTGTTTCAACATGTATAGGATTTCCTTTATCATATTTATCAGTTAGACACCAATCATAACCAACAAATGAACCACCTGGTTTAAGAACACGAACAACTTCAGCAAAACATTTAGCCTAAGAGTAATAATAAACAATATACTTTTGTTTATCTATTTGTTTTTACGCCTATATAACGTAAACAATAACATACCTTTTCTGGCGCATGACATACAGCTTCGATAACATAAACATGATCAAAGCTATTGTCTTCAAATGGTAATTCCATAAAATCGCCTTGAATAAATTGACAATTAGCTGGTACACCTATGATAAAATTTTAAGTTATATCGAAAGTTGTATTCGAAAAAAAAAAGAAAGAAATATTTTAGTAAAATTCTTACCGATAGTTTTAGCTCGTTGAACTTGATATTGACTAATGGTTAGACCAGTAACATGTGCTCCAGTTAAGTATGCAATACGTCTTAATGGTCCTCCAACTCCACAACCAATGTCAAGTACTTTATCGCCTGCTTTAAGATTCATTTTTAATGCTAAATAAGATTCATGTCGTTGAATTGATTCTGTTAATGTTTCACCACGAAATCGATTAGCAAAATGAAAACTTTGACCCCAACCATATTCATAAAAATCTGTTGATACACTATAATAATTAGTTACTAAAGTTTTATATTCATTTTTTCGTTTATCAACAGATGTTGAATCTTGAAATAATTCATTATATAATGAAACTTCTTTTTGTACAGCATTACTTGAACGTTGTACTACCGTTTTTTCTGCCATTCTTCTTCTTTTATAATGCTAATAAACCGTGATCTTTCAAGGATATGTCATGTGATCTGAAAAAGTAAAGAGCAGGTACATAAATGTAGTTTATTTATCTAGTCAAAGTTGCTGATTCGTTAGAGGACGCTCGAATCGATAAAAAACACACAGTTGACTGTAATTATGGAGAACATGCAGGTAAGAGAATGCATGGTAACAGATTGAACTCAAAATGGTGACAATTCCTAGAGAAGGAAATGACTCATATAAAAGGATGTTCTTGTAGAATATGAATTAAATATTCATGTATAATCATTTTTTTCTTAAGCTTGCAATTATTTACTGTGAGTTGTATATATTGTATTTGTCGATAGAAGATTAGAACTCATATTTCTATTTTAAAAGAAACTAATAAACAGAGAAAAATCATGAAGAGTTTGGTAAAAATAAAAGGAAAGAAGCATTTTTCTTCTGGCATGAAACATCGAGTAGAGAAGAGAATTCTTACAACCAATAAATAAATATTTTTCTTAAATTTTACTGTTTTTAGAAACTCTCATTCTTCAAATGCAAATCGTGTAACTTTCTTTTTTTTGTCGACGAACATTCTTTTATTGACATATATCGATTGAGAGTATTTTGTTTTTCTGATATTATCATCGTTGTGGATGAATAAAAGTGTAGAAAAAAAATAATAAGCAGACATGAATTCATAGACAGATAATCAAACAAAATCTTTCATGGAATGAATCTATTTATGATTGGCATCAATTTGATTTTTTGTTTAATAAAATTGTATTATTTACAATTAAACAATTAAACGAGAACAAGTATGTATTCTCTTCGCGCTCTCTTTTTTTTTTCTATGCATATGCAATGATTCCAGTTATTATCGTACCATTTGTTTAGGCGAACATTTTAAGATTTCTTTCATTTTCGCTGATTTTCTTTCTTTTGCTGCTGGCGACTGAATAAAAAAAAATTGCCAAAACAAAAGAAAAAAAAGAAAAATAAAACATAATTTATAATCATTAAAAAGTTTCTTCAATATTAACCGAGGAAAATGTCTTCAAATATTTTTCCGGGTAATAACAAAAAGAAAATACACACCACATTTATTTTATTCATAATTAGTCATGAGAATTTAATCATTTTCATTCAAGCAAACGTTTATACCAAAAATCATTCGTCGGCCTTCTCGCAATATTCTTTTCATCTTAAATTTAACACATTCAGGTATATTAGATGGATAAAGACTGCGACTATATACGACAATGATAACTGTATCATCTTACTTTGTAACCATATCCGTTTCGCTGTCAATAATACTAATTCGATATATATGATATATTGTATTCTCACGTCTCAATCTTTTAAATAAATAAAGGTATATGTATAAAATGATATAGTTGACATGTTAAGATCCTATTTCAAAAATGTAATTTTCATTGATTCTGTATGAAAAAAAAAAATCCTTTTTCCTTCGTTTTTTTTTTTTATTCACTCTTCGAATATAAGTAAATTGGAATAGTCTTTCGTTTTCGATTTCTGCTCACATACATACACATCAATTATATATATATTCTGAAGCATACATCTTGACGAACGAATAAATTCAAAAAAATGTTCTAGAGCATTGATACTGTTGATTATTTACTCTAATGAGTATGTAGACAGTTTCATTTTCATTCAATGGTTTTTCTTATTAAGTTGAGTAGTAAAAGAATGCTTTAGGTCATTTTGTTATTGAAATAGGGATAAAAGAAGAAAAAAAAACGCAAGCACTCACTATTTATCGTACGTACGTGAACCGTGTGGTTATTTCAATGAAAGCTTGTAGACTTAAAAGATCATGAAAAATTGCCAACGAGACTATGAAATATTATTTATACAAAAAGAAGCAAAAAAAATATAATAATATTTCATCAATATCGTAATGTATAACAGATGGCTCATATTACAGTTGCAAATTTATTTCATTTTGATTAGGCCATTTATCGATCTGTTGTTGTTCGTATACATATGCTAGCTTTAGTTGTATTAGAACATTCTTTTTTTGTATTGACGCATTTATATTTGACTATTTTTATTAAATATTTACTAAAAGAATATTGAACATAAAAGTATGATATAAAAAACTGGAGTCCAGGAAAAGGTAAGGTAAATAATTTTTTAATGAATAGAAAAGCTTCCTTTTTTTTCTGTGTATTACAAATTAAGCAGATAAGAATGTTTTAAAATATCTTAGTTAAAATGTTGATTTATTTTGTTATGTCGAACAAATAACAGAAGTTCTAGTTTCTTTTATTACCTAGAGAAAAAAACAAATTTTTGTTTTTAGTTGATAAAAGAATGACATTTTTTTCCTCTTCTGTAAATTGAAGTGAGAGAGAGAGAGAGAGAGGAACTGGAAATCGGTATATCGATATAACTTACATTAAGTTTCTGTTATCGGTATGAAATGTATAGTTGTGTATATCAATATAATAGAATGATTATTCATTGAAATGTTATTTTTACGCCTGACATAAATACAAAAAGAAAAAAAAAATCTTTTTTTATCCTTTATTATTTTAGATTCTGACAAAATATTTCATTCCATTGGGTATGATCAGTAGTAGCTATGCAAGCGCTATTTTTACTCTACTACTCAATTGTTCAAATAACGATTATTTACGGTAAGCAGACAATGAAACATATAGTAATAAAAAAAACAAATTTTTTAATATTATTTATCGAAGGTCTTAATCGATATTTGGGTTGTTTCATTGATCATATTGACAATCATGATCTTGAAGTGTTTATTGATAAATATGAACACTTAACTTCTAGACAATGTATTTTTGCTTGTCAAAAACAAAACTATCAGTATGCAGCTATACAACATGGTAATGAATGTCGCTGTGGACAACAATACGGAAAATATGGTCAAGTATCAGATGATCAATGTCAATATTCATGCGTAACATTGGAAAAATGTGGTGGTGATAATCGAAGTAGTGTTTATAGTGTTATGAACTCGATTGATTCATCTAGATCAGGTTTTTTTTTCATATTGAAAGTATTTTATTCATATAATAAAACGCAATTCGATACATTTCTAGATTTGACATGTTTGAATACTGTAGTTGGTTATCAAGGTTGTTTTGATAATGTAATCTTAGGTATAGTGATGGGTGTTGTGAACTCGATTGAAAAATGCATTTCACACTGTGCTACGAACTATAATTATGCAGGCATCGTGAATGGGTAAAGTCTATTATTTTAATAGAATTCTATTGATTTTTATTCGATTCAATTGACGACAAAAAAAGCTTAATCTGCGATTAAAATTTTCTTTTTTTTTTAGTAATTCATGCCGTTGTGGAAATTATTTAAATCAACCAGCCTTGAATTCCATTGTATGTAATATTCCATGTGAGAGAAATTCAAATGACATGACAATTGATTGTTGTGGTGGCCTTCATGCACTTAGTGTTTATAATGTTAAGAACTATCGTTAGTATACATAAATGATTAGTTAAGAGATGCTTAGTTGTTTGTAATTATTCTTGTTGTCTATTTAGAATCCCTTTTAGCTAAAGATCTATCTGAAGCACATATTCGAGGTATATATCTTTTGTTTACTTGTTAAATTCCATGTATAGTTGGATGATTCGTAATAGTTTCATTTGATACGTATATACATATATATATACATACATAGAAAACAGTATCAAAAAATGCTTTAATTTCGATTATTTTATTTAGTGAAAAGAGAGGGTAAGAATATTTTAAATAAATTATTGTCTCAGTGTATTTATAGTCGTTAGCTTTGCTTTCGTCTTCCTCATGTATAACGCTTATTTGTATATATTTATGTGTATTCTTTTTTTTTGTGTTTCATGTCTTTTTCATATAATTTGAAAACTATTTCTAGTCAATATATGTTATATTAACTGATATAGCAATTAATCATTGGTACATTCAGTTGTGCTACTAATAAAAAGTTACTGTTATAAATATATGTGCTATGCTAAGTTTTATACTGCTATGCTAATTGCTGCTATGAAAACAAGTTTCTTACTGCATTACATCTAGCACGAAAACACGGCTACTCCGATTCTCTACGGATACGACATGATCTGAAACTATTCATGACTTCTTCTCTTTAGTTCTAAACGAAGACTCGTCGACAATCACTTTAAATAGCAGCAGTACCAATTCAATACTAGCCGAATCTCCGACGTTCGCAGTTACTAGCACGACTCCAACGAATACTATGCGAAGTGATTCACAATTCCTCTCCGCCGTGAACACTTCACCAAATACTGATCAGTCTACCGTAAATTCGATGACTAGCACAATCGTCTCATCCGACTACAGTTCGATTCGAATAAGTTCACTCGACACTAGTACATTTATTTCAAATTCAATGAATTCAGTATCGACGACTACAAGTGCAACAGCTATTACTGGTTCGGCAAGTCAATCAGTATTACACACAGATATATCGCCAACTCCCATTACGAGTGCCTTATCCTCATCTTTACATATGGACACTAGCCAAACAAGTGATAGCGAAACAGTGCATACTACAACACTATCATATTCGTCTTCAAATACGAACATGTATCAGACTACCAGTGCAACTACCACATACACTGACATTGCTTTGTCAAATTCACCTACTACGTTCAACAGTCAATCGTCCTCAAACATGCATAGTTCACCAGAAACAAGCAATCATTCATCTTCCTTCACGCATATGGACACATCTGAGACAGCCAGCATAGCACGCACAATTACTGCGATATTCTTAGCTTCACTTGAACCACTCACAAGCGAATCATTTTCCACCTCAGATATATCACACCACACAAGTACTGACACTTCATCAGCATTCCCTACATACACTACCATGTCAGCTACACCTATATCGATTACCGGTTCATCGTTACTGCATATCGACACGTCGCCAACAACAACTAATAGCATTTCGTCATCGACAACGATAGACACGGGTAAAACACTTAGCAGTACACCTTCGACTTCTCCTAATACACCAGTTTTTTCTTTTTCAGCAGCAACTAGATCATTACCATCAATATCGCTTACTCCTACATCATCTACATCGTTGTATACTTATACAAGCCAAGCCATTGGCACCACAATACAAGAGACTGCTACTACGGCACCCATTTCATCCGTGACATCCACAAGTCAACTATCGTCGTACACAAGTGTCTCAGAAGAAACAAGCAGTGGCACATCTTCCTCGCCACAAACCGACACAAGTCAACAAACTGGCAGTACCACACAAAATAATGCTACTATCCTATCATCCACACATGTTACGTCTTCCACCGAGTTGTCCACATATCCAGCTCCTTCCCAAGAAATAACCACTGGAGCAACTTTCTCCACACCGACCGAAACAAGTCCATCAACCGGTAGCACCACAGCGAATACCGCTACTTTTCCATCAGCTTCATCTATTGCGTTGTCAAGTCAATCCTCATTGTACACAGCTGTTTCACCAGAACTCACCTATCCAACATCTTTATTCCCACCAACTGAAACAGGTCAATCAAGTGGTAGTACAACAATAAATATGGGTACCGTTTCATCATCAACACCCGTTGCGTTTTCAAGCCAATCCTCCTCGTATACAGGTGTTTCACAAGAAATAAGCACTGAAGGATCTTCCTCGGCACAAACTGAAACAACTCAAGCAAGTAGTAGTACAACAATAAATACCGCTACTGTTCCATCAACTTCACCAATTACCTTGTCCATCCAGTCATCATTACATACAAGTGTCTCACAAGAAACAAGTACAGGCACACCTTTTTCGGCACAAACTGAAACAGGTCAATCAAGTGGTAGTACAACAATAAATACCGCTACTATCCCATCATCGACACCTGTTACGTTTTCAAGTCAATTATCACAATACACAGGTTTCTCAGAAGAAACAAGTACTGGCACATCTTCCACGGCACAAACTGAAACAACTCAATCAAGTAGTAGTACAACAATAAATACCGCTACTGTTCTATCAACTTCACCAATAAGCTTGTCAGGTGAATCATCTCAACATACACGTGTCTCACAAGAAACAAGTACGGGCACATCGTTTTCGGCACAGACGGAAATAAGTCAATCAAGTGGTAGTACAACAATAAACACCGCTACTGTTCCATCAACTTCACCAATTACCTTGTCCATCCAGTCATCGTTACATACAAGTGTCTCACAAGAAACAAGTACAGGCACACCCTTTTCGACACAAACTGAAACAGGTCAATCAAGTGGTAGTACAACAATGAATACTGCTACTATCCCATCATCGACACCTGTTACGTTTTCAAGTCAATCGCCCTCCTATACAGGTGTTTTACAAGAAACAAGCACTGAAGCATCTTCCTCGGCACAAACTGAAACAAATCAAGCAAGTAGTAGTACAACAATAAATACCGCTACTGTTCCATCAACTTCACCAATTACCTTGTCCATCCAGTCATCATTACATACAAGTGTCTCACAAGAAACAAGTACGGGCACA